CAGAGACAACTAACTGTATATGAGGTAAGACAGATGGGGAAATTATGTGAGAGCGAGAGCAGGGAGGGAAACGCTTGCCTGAGTATGTGGTGAGAAAAAGGTTTGCATGGAGGGTGCACACACGCCCTGGAGGGTGTGTGCGCACCACAGCTGTGCTGCACAAGCATAGTCATCATTAGTGAGAAGACCTGCTCTTGCCCTTTTTTTAAGGTGCAACAGAAAGCAAGCAAGCTCTGGCAGCTGGGGCAAGGATGCTGGGAGACGGCACCTTCTATCCTAGCGGGAATGGGGGAAAGAGAAGAGGGGCTCTTTCAGCACAAGGCCCACACTCCATTTTGAAGTTGAGGGACTGGCTGCATCCCAGAATAGGCAGCTCACTGAGGACAGCCAGCCCCACAGCTGGCTTTAGGAAGCTTGTTTCTCCACCACCCACCCCCTCCACACCCATTCACCCCACAAAAGAAACAGCGAGTCCAGTTTGAATTTCTGCACTGCCATGAACTCACTCGGTGGCCTATTGGGAAAGGTGCTTTCTCTCCCCCTGCAGATCCAAAGGGCAGCCTGTTTGGGCCCCATCGTTTGGCTCCAAGGACAGGCTGCTGAGGCAGGCAGGCTATGAGAGAAAGACGTGTGTTTTTTTGTCTGGTTGGTTGGTTGGTGTTCCTGCAAGCCGTTGCAAGCCGCCTTGAGAATCACTTGGTTGGAAAGTACAACACAAATCTTTAGAATAGCCAAATCCACCTTCCCCATCCTGATGATGTTTTTGCGTGGCAGGACTTTGGGCCAGTTACAGACTCTCAGCTCAGCCTACCTTGTAGTTGCGAGAAGATTGAGAAGAGGAGGGAAATTATGTAAGCTGCCTTAAGTTCCTTGGAAGGAAAAAAGGACCACGGTAAACAGACAGACAGACATATTTTTCACCTGCTCATGTACCTACAGATCTAGGTACTCATAACAGTAAAAGAACAGAGGGTGGTAAAAGGCTGGCAACTGTCCCAGTGGCAAAAGTATTCAGCGATTTAGCCCCGTATTGAATGTGGCGCCATATTTCACCTAATAGCCATGGATCAGCACTGAATGTGCGTAATCCTTTCCGAATAAAGTCTTGTGAACTGTCCAGAGAGTTTTGGCTATTGGGCAGTCAAGAAAATAATACTAATACTAATAATAACATCTCAGAGAAGAGGGACCTCTGTCCCATGGAGGGTTCGCATCCTGTCCTCAAAGTTTTAGGTCACTGCCTCAGCAACCATTGTCCCCTCTGCTCCCCAAGCCCAGCTCCCTGAGAAGGAGGCCAGGAGGGATGGCCACTGCTCTCCCCATCTATGGCCAGAGAGGGAAAGAGGGATTCCCTGGGCAAACACCAGGCAGAGCAGCCATTACCCATCTGGTGCCACAGGTGGGATGCTGTGCTTCGCCTGAGTTTTTCTCAGCTAGAGAGAGCCGGGGCAGAGCAAAGTCACACCGCTTGGACGCCTTCACATCTCTGAAGGGGAGCAGCTGTACGACAGGTAGAAATTCTAGAGATGCAGCTTTCTCTTGTCTTTGGCAGGGCAATGTGTTAAACAGAACCTTGTATTCAATAACCAGGCCACTGGATGCTGTAGGGCTGATGCAGTTTTTGTAAACCCTAGTTAAAATCAGTAAGGATAGGAGTAGATGCAGACAGAAAAAGGATCTGAGAGGAAATAGTTGAGGAGTGCTTAAAACAAAGGAGAGGTATACTCTTTGCAGAATCTTTTCTGCTTTTTCTCATTAAAAACCACAACATTCTAAACATTATTCTAGACATGAGTAAAGGACTCATGGGAAATCCCAGAAGTTAAATGGAGATCATCTGAGGATGGAGCTGCAGTGCTACAAATTACTCCCCTGATGCTACCTTTTGCCAACCAAAGAAGAATACAATATTCTTTTTTTTAAGGCAAATATGTGCACATTTTAGAATATATGCCAAATCCACCCAAGCTATTCAGCATTTCAAAATATATGCAACGCTGACCAGAATATTCAGAAAATCAGTGTTTTTGGCACACCCAATCTAGCTAAGATGAACATTTACCAATGGACCAGAAAGAGAGCCAGGCCCGTTTTTGTGCTTTCGGCAGTGGCTTCAATAGTAGAAATGGGTAGGCAAAGTAGGGAGATCGAGAAGATTGCTTGTTCAAGTTTTGCAAATTAAGCTGCTGATACACAGTAAATTAAGCTGCAAATTCAGGCCCAGCTGCAGAGGCTGGCTGAAAAGTTGGCAAGTCTGCTGTGGTGGTCCTTAAAGGATGGGCCAATAGCTGAAGCAGAATTTGGATGGGAAGATGGACAGTAACCAGGGAAGGCAACAGCTAGCTATTTATGTAACACAGAAAGAAGATAATTTTATTTCCCTTCCTCACACAAGTAGCTGAGCCCTGTTTCATCCCATCAGGGGAGGCCCAGGCCCAAAGCTGAAATGATGCATGGTTAACTCTCGTTTTCCCTCCTGCCATTATTTTAACCCAGGAATGGGAACCTCCAGCCCAACAGATGTTATGCTACCCCAGCCCATCAACTCTAGCCAGCACAGTCAATGGTAAGGACTGGTTCAAGCTGTAGGTTCCCCATCCCTGAGTTATTCCAAAGGTTCTGGGTTTAAGCAGAGACCCAGCAGGGACAAATAGGGATGTTAAAAAATCTGCAACAGATTCAAGTAAGTTTAGATTTCTGTGAATCCGGAGATTCCACAGCTGACAGGCTTTTTACTTTCTGGGGATGCATACACAGTTGATCATACAAAAATTTGAAGAAAAAGAAAGTTACTCACCAAAAATTTACATTTCCCTTACATAGGCTAATGCGTGAAAATGTGGATGCAGAATTTGCCCTTTTTTCATTTTTCACAGGTTTGGAGAGATTTGCACGAATCTGCATTAATGAATGTTCATTAGTGAATGTGAATTTGCACTAATGCACTTAAAGTAGAATGAAATCCCCGTCAGGCCTCATCAGGGGAACTGAGTAAACAGGACCTGCCCTGGGTGGGGGGGGGTGGCACAGAGGGGTCAACACAGTGTGTTAACACAGTCAACTCTTCATTTTATTTATTATTTATTTATAGTTTTATTATTGTATTTCAGAATTTTATATTATGTAAGCCGCCTTGAGTGCTTGTGCGGAAGGACTGGATACAAATACTTGTAATAAAGAAATAAAATAAATAAACTCTGACAGGTGCACATGTTTCCTTGAAGGTGTGGCTGTAGCAAACCATGGGCTAGTTCAACCCAAGCAAAGTCGTGGATTAATTAGCTGTAATTAAACAAACAGCTGTGCATTTCCAGATACATCTTTAAGGTACTTGGAGATTGCCTGGGGGAAGACTTTCCTGCACACTGCCAAATCAAGGAGGTAAGACTCCATGAATCTCGTCTGAACCTCTCCACTGCCACGAACTCCCTGGGCAGCCCCTTGACTGCACTGCGACAGCCTCACTGGATAGCAGAGCTCCACCTTCTGATACTATGAGGACACTAGTTATGACCTCCCAAGACAACAAGTTAGTTTTCAAATCACTGCCTGCTCAAATGCACCCCCCTCCCAGCCCTTGAGGACCAGACTGCCTGGGGTGCCTGGTGGTGCAGGCAGAGGGGAATGCTTCAGCACAGGCAGGGGCACTTCCTGGGGATGGAGGCCTTCCAGCCGTGCAAGGCAGAGCCATGACCCAACCATGTGTTTATGTGCAAGCTTGCTCTCTCCCCACCAGCAACCCCCCCCCCCATGCTCCCTTCACATGCAGAGGGAGCTTGCCTTAAAACAATTGCTATTCGATCCAAATTGCTTTGGACTGGTTTTTCTATAGTTTTGAATAGCTGGTCACAATACCCATCTTCCACGATAGTCTGATTTTATTTTGTTTTTGTTTTTTTGAAGCTATCTGCATGAATAGTTATGACCATAGCTCATAATTCTGTATTCAGTAGGTTACTTCAGAGACACAGTCCGTTCTACAGCAAGGACTTCTACCAAGGGAGGTCAGGTTGGCTGCATCTCATCCAAAGTCGAGGTAAGCAATTTGTAAAACTACTGTTTGCCAGACGTTAAGTGGATCTCTAAAAATATTGTTTGGGCTTGTTTTAATTTTTGTTTGCTTGCTTCATGTTTATCCTGTTGTGATTTTAGTATTATAACTGAATGCTAAGCTACTCTGAGGGCTTTTGTTGGTAGGAAAGCTATTTCTAAATACTTTAAATAAATAAAAACATATGTGCTGCAATTCCTCTACCGGCTATCATATGATAGAACTGACAAACAAGCAAGCAATTAACAGTACGTCTAGAAAGCGTCCCAGTTTTGAATTGTTAGGTAGGTGTGAACACAGCCAGGCATTACTTCCTACTGTGGTAGGTTTTGTTCATTTTAAAATCTTCTATATTCTCAGGGTGCTCGTGCAATAGAAATAAATGGTTGAATTTATCCAGACACGGTGGTTGCATCAACCTCTTTGCCTCTTGTGGTAGATCCCAGAATAAACTGCTATTCCGTACCACACCCAGCAAGAAACCACAGGGGCCAGGGGTGCTGCACCTCTTTCAGCCAGATTCTCAAAATCAGTTTCAGAGACGCTCCGGGGTGCAAGGGCGGGGGGTGGGGGGACCAGTGGTAAGCAGGTCCACAGACAAAATGAAGGGGGAGCTAAGAATGTGAGACCAAAATACCAAAAGTATTGGCATGGTTTAGCTAGCTTAAAGCACTTAGTACTGGTAACTGAGTTTCAGGGGAAGCATTTCAATATCCTAGAATGGCTGGGAAGGGAAATACTGTGCCAAAGGAAAGAAGCCACCCCAGGCTTGCTGGCTGGAGGGAAAGGGTGCAGCCAAGGAAGGGGTTCTGGTCATTAGGGTATCAGATGCAAGTTTCCAGGCAGGCTGGTGTGGGTTCGGCACCCAGGTGGCAGACTCTCAATTTCTGAGTGAATTTTTGGGAGGAAACAGACACCCGTTGAGAGACAAATTAGTCCAAGATAAGTGTTTGAATTTCCATCACTTTATTTTGCAAAAATAGAAAAGCCCCCTTTTCTGCGGCACAGCTGGGAGTGCAGGGGCAGGAGAGATTCCTCTAAAATACCATGGAAAGCTGGTCTGTAAACATCATGGAAGGGATTCACCCTCTTTTCCATCCCGCCCCACAGCAAACAAACAGACCCCATTATAAGGCCTGTGGTATTTACTTAATTTTGGCAGCTTAACATGACTGGGGAAGAAACCAAGACAGCTGAGCAGAGCCCCTTGTTCCTCGGGGTACTGCTACCCCTCACTACCTGCTCTGGGATTAGGGTAGGGCGAAGGCATCACTTCTCCCTGCTATCCTCCCACCCCCCTGGTGTAAACATAGGCAAATAAATAAATCCACCAAAAGTGTTGCCCCACTCATGGCCAGCAGGGGGCAGCAGCACTTTCGGCTCGCATCCCAAAGCCGCAGCAGAGGCAGCGAAAGGACAACCCACTCCTGCTGCAGTGGAGCCAATGCTCTCCCCGGCACTGATGTGAAGCCCAGCACAAGTGGCTGCCTGCCTTTCTCCTCAGGAAGGTTCTGCAGGGCGAGGGGGAGACGAAGCTTGAGATGGAATAGCAGCTGCTAATGGTGCAACATCAGCAAAGGACGTTCATGAGATGCCCCTTCCTGCCCCTGCCCCTTGTAGTGTTAGGGTTGCATTGGATTCCTATTGCTAGGGCAGAGAGTAGTGGGGAGGCATAACAAGGCGAGCCTGCAGAACGACTTTGGCCCTCGAGTGAGCAGAGAAAGCATTTGCTTCGTCCGATATTTGGTCCATTGGATTGGGGTGGGGGTGAAACAGAGCCGGGCCCCTCTGGGCTTGGGGGAAAGCAACATGCTCCATTTCCTGGGGCAGGAGCGGTCTGCCCCTTCTACCCCATCAAAGTGCTGGGGAAGCCAAGGCGAGAAGAGTGCCCCCCTTTTCCACTGGACCTGTGAAGAGGGGCAGCTGGTTTCTCCTGGGGGAAACAGAAGGGGGCCCTGAGGGACGGCAACTGGGTTCAAGTCTATAGCTCTGTACCCCTCACCTCCACCCTTTCCTTGATATCTTTGGTATCTGGCATCCTTTGGAGTCTGTTTTCCCAGAATTCTTAGCACCGGGGTCAAAAGCATCCCAAGCGAGAACAGATACAGTTTTCCCCTCCCCAGCAAGCCCCATAACCATGACTTCCCTCTGCCTTGGGACTGGGGGGGCAGGGGGAAAGACTGCGGCCCCCTCCCAAAACCCCACTCTGGGATTAATCTCTGCCTCCAGAATAAAATGTTAGCACTTTATACAGCTGAAAAGAAGAAGTCCCCTTTCCCCACCCAATTCCACGACTCACCTCCCTCGCAAAAAAAAAAAAAAAAAAATCCACATCCCACTGGTATCCATAGAGATGGATATGAACATACGCACACATTCAACACACCCACGGTGGGGATGCCAACACGGAAGTCCTTCCTGGCTTCACTCTTCCCATTCCCCATAAGTGGGGCAGTCGCGTGGGGAGGGAAGTGGGTACTGGAGGGCATGCCAACCCTCTCTCTTCAGAAACTTGAATAAATAGTGTCTTAGATGCCTGGATGCCCTGGCAGGCGTGGGAGGCTGGAGAGCAGAGCTGACCTCCAGCCAAGACTGTGGACTGGGCAGGAGGGAGGAGGCATTGCATAGGGTCCACGTGTTGCAGAGTCTCTGGATTCACTCTTGAGGCGCCCCCTTTTTCTCACTGGTGCAGGGCAGGGAATTGCACATTTGGAGCACAGCCTATTTTGAAAGGGAGGGTCTCCAAGTCTCAGCCCCTTGGGGGCTTTCTGGGTCCTGGACATTTGGCTTAAGGATGCCTGACGGAACTAATCAGGTCCTTTGGGAACTTTGGCAAAGCTTTAGGCTGAGGGGCAAAGGCTTCAGAATATACATCCAAGGCCCCCAAAGGAAAAGGTTAAGGCAAGAGGCATCCCCCAAGTCTCCAAGGGGAGGGGATGTGGCACCTCCTTGTTGGTCTTGAGTGCTGCCATCACACCTGACTCTGGCGGATGGGCCTGGAGCAGGAAGGCAAGCATGGATAAGAGTCTCAGAGGAAATGGGCAGCAGGCAGGACGGAGGAGAGACATGTATGGGGGTTTTCTCCTGGCCCTTCCTAGCCGAAATCCTGGCTCTCCCGAGATGCTAGGGGGCCTCCTCATGGCTCGTGGCTTCAGCTGGACTCTCCTCAGTGCTGGGGGGCTCTGCCAGTGGCGGGGGCTGTGACAGCTCATCCTCAAACATCTCAGGATTTTCCAGCATCTCCCGGATGAGTGGTGGCATGGGGCCGGGAATCTCCATCTTCAGAGTGATGGCTCGTTCAGCACCTGTGGTGGGGGAAAAGAGAGGACGAGAGAGTCGCCAGAAGCCAAGAGCTCTCCCTGCAGCGAAGCTGGACCTGTGCTGCAAGCCTGACCATGACGGCGGGGACCAGCATGTCGTCGTGGGCTGGTTTCCAAACATCCCTCTGTGAACAAATCCCAGTCCCCAAGAAGGCTTGTCACGGGGGGGGGGGGGGGGGTGGGGGAGTTGGAGGAACCAAAGGCTTGTGGTAGAGAAGAACCAGAAGCTTTTTGCTTTGGTGCTGCCATTCCAACCCTGCTGCTGGGGGCGTCGCACTCAATGACTTCCATTCCCACCCCTGTTGTGGAAGAATCATGACAAAATGGCACTGAAATGGTGACCATGCTGGCACCAGGCAGACCTCAGCAGGGCGTGCTCCACAGGAGGTGTGGAGGAAGCCTTACAACTGAGAAGGCCGTCTCTCTTGTCTTCATCCTTCAAAACCTCCCTTGACAAGGCACTCAGAGCAAGAACTTAGCTGATGGGCTTTATTTTGGGGTGCATGCATGCTGAGACAGGCGTGCCACCAGGTATTGTGGTACCAAGTCCTATAAGGTTTTCTCAATTATTGCAAGCACTTTGAGCTGGGCTCAGAAATGCATAGGCAACCTGCATAAGCAGGCCAGGATGATGATTCAGACAATGACAGGCGCCCACCTTTGGTGCTGATCCCCCGCAGATCAGTGATTTTCATCAGCATGCGGGGAAACATGTAAGGCTTGTTGGGTCGGCGACGGCGAGCATAGATCTTCAGCGCTTCCAGCAATGGCTCCTGCAGCTTGTCCACTTTCTCTGGCTCTTCCAGGTCCATTCGATCTGTGGAGAGCAGAAAGACAGGGAACACTGCTTGATTAGGAGCTTGCTTTATTTTCTCTAAGAAGCCTTGATCATTTTATAAACAGGTTGTAACTTACAGGGTCCCCTGGCCAAATCTGAAGCTTGTTGTGGAACATGGAACTGATTGTGAGGCTAGAACATTTAGGGCACGGCTGGGCAATTGCGGTGGGCTGAAAGGCTGCACTGGCTCTCACAAGCCCCTGTGGGCTCTACCATCCTGACACCAGCAGTGCCTTTGTGGTGGGATTCCCAGTGATGCCACAGGGAAAGGAGGCGGGCAGGGAAGGAATCCCTCGTATCCCAGCAGAGCCCCTTTCTCTGCAGGGAGTGGCACTCCCTGAGCCAGCACATGGAAGAGTGTGCTTCTGCTGAGAAAAAGGGCAGGTGCTCCCCACGTGTGAAGTCACCCAGTCCAACAGCTGAGAATCTGCTAGCCATGTAGTGGGAGCCACAAAAAAAGAGGGGGTTGCCAGCGTTTCAAATTATATTTGTAGGCTTATAAGGAGCCAGTGCAGGTGCTCCCAGTACCCTCCCCTATCCTGCTGGAATGAAGAGCACAAAGGAGATGAGATAAAATAGGACAGGTAAATGGATACTTGGATGCACCTTGAGTGGCCAGTGCCATAACACCAGGCAAGCAATGCTTTAAAAATGTGTCTCATCTGCTTAATTATTGTATTAGCCGATCATGGCCTCTCTCTGGTTGTAGAACTGGGTGGGCAGAGATCTCCCCCCCAGTACACACTGCTCTTTTATGGGATCATTCTAGGTCTCTTTCTTGCAAATGTCATTCCCCAGCCTGGCACCATCCCCAGAGGAGCTGGGCTACAATGCCTCTTCTCCCTGGCCAGATTACCCAGCAAGCCTCCTGGATGGGGATGATGGCAGTTGGAGTCTGACCCCACTCTGGGAAAAGCTGCCATAGGCCTTTCCCTTCCAGCAGAAAAAAGAAGACAACTGACTGTTAACACTCCTGCCTGTTCCTGGAGCAGCTCCAGAAGTGGTGCTTGGAAAGCACCTGATCCAAGAATCGGATCCTTCTCCCCAGAAGACAAGGCTCCCTTCACTAGCAGCTAAGCTTAAAATGGCTGCGGAGGACTGCTAGGGAATCCTCACCTCCACAGATGAGGCAGATGGCGCTGAGCAGACCTGTCTCTGTGTCGTCCATTTCCAGAGGCAGGAGTTGCCCGGCAAAGGCAAAGACCAGGTCAGTGAGAGGCCCAAACCCAGCATTGTGCATCTGGGTACGGTTCAGGGTCAGCCCGTCTGAAAAGGTCATGGTGTCCTGGTCAGGGGTGTAGCGGGTGCAAATACGGAGCATCTGTAACAGTCAGAGTGAGAATGGCAGATCCATTAGTCAAAAAGACTATCACAAAGAGAGGAGGCCAGGTCTGCATGCAAGCTTGCATCATGGAATGGGGCATGCAATCCAGTACCCTGAGAAACTCAGGCTTTCAAGTAAGTTCAGCTCTTCAACCCCACAGTGATAGCTCTGGAAGCATTTGGAAGATGCCCAGAGAAAACAGCCAGATGTGCAACTAAGCAGAATTTTCTGCAAACAAGGAAGATGAGGAACTTTCCCACAGCTTGCCTACCTCCTCCTCCCTTCCTATCTTCAGCAGGAGCATCATGAGTCAAGGGTGTGCATACCCTGGCATCATTTAGATGCCCTGCAAAATTTGGATCTCCTTAATATGCATTTTATTCCTGCTGTGGTGACTTTTTACATTACACAGACCTGTACACATTCCCTGCCCCCCCCCACAACACTCCCCAGCAACTCAGGCCACGCCCCCCTCTGCTTTTCATCTGCTCCCACAGAAGGCTGTGGTCAAGTCTCACCAAGATGTCCAGGCAGGCTGCTTTGAGCAGGGTGATTTGGTCGGCGATGCTGAGACTGGTGAAGCCTGGCAGGCGTTTGGCAAACTCCACAATCTTGATGATGCATTTGGTGGCCAGTTCACTGAACTTGTCCCACAGCCCCAAGTCCAGCTGGACTCTGTGATCTGCACTGGAATTCTAGAAGGGAGGACAAAAGATCTGGCGTTAGGATGGCTGCTGCTTTGCCCCTCACCTGTCAAGTCTTCTGTCTTTATGAAACAAACACTCAGACAAACAGGTGGGCAGATGAAAGACAGACTAACAGTAGAGTATGTCTGAAAGCATATTTAGTGCTGAAAGTCTTTTGTTCCTCCTTCATCAGCAGCCGCGATGTTCTGTGTATGTGATTGAGTGAAATCAGACAATAGCGTTAAAACTTTTCCAAATCTGAAATACACCTTTAGCCCCCAGAGTGAAAGATGGGGTCACCTTACTGCTATTTTCCTAAATTTTCTCTTCTCTCTCACTACTGTATTTTCTCTCTCCCTGACCTATTTCCTCCTCCACTATTTCTCTTTTTTAAAGCAAAAAGAAAACCTTCAGCTACTGCCACTGCAATGGAAATAGTGGTAGTACCACTTTAGGGCAGAGCATGGCCAACCAGCTGAAGATCTGTGGACCATCTACATATCCCAGGAGTGCATCCACACCAGCACAGTTTTGCAAAGCTGTTTCAATACATGCTATGGGATGGGCAAAGACATTGGACAAGGGTGTCTTTTATCTGCTTGTCTGCTCAGTCTGGACCCAGAACATATCATAAGGAAAGCTGGATTAGAATCAGAGGAAGATGTGAAAATAGAGAGAAGATATAGCAATGATTTAAGTCATGCTGGCAGAAAGCAGCAATGAAATCTAACAATTCCTGAGAAAAGTGAAAGAGGGAAGTACAAAAGCAGGACCGCAGCTGAAGAAAACAAAAATCATGGCTACAGAAGAATTAAAGAACTTTACTGTTAACAGTGAAGAAACTGAAATTCTGAAAGATTTTGCATTCCGTGGCTCAGTCACCAATTGAAATGAAAACTGCAGCCAAGATATTAGAAAAAGACAGGCTTGGAAGGGCAGCCATGAAAGAACTAGAAAAGATCATCAAGTGTAAGGATGTTTCACTGGTGAGCAAGGCCAAGACCATCCACACAGACTATTCCCAATCATGTGTGGGTGTCAAAGCTGGAAAGTGAAGAAAGCTGACAGGAATGTGTTTGAAACATGATGCTGAACAATGCTTTCTGAATGTTCGAGACAGACAGAAAGAGGAACACGTGCCTCCTAGATCAAATTGAGCCAGAGCTTTCCTTAGAAGCAAAAATGACAAAACTGAGACCGTCCTACTTTGGGCACATCATGAGAAGGCAAGACTCTCTGGAGAGAGAATCATGCTCGGGAAAGTTGCAGGCAGAAGAAGAAAAGGGAAAGATCAGCTCATATTTGGAGATGGACTAATTCCATAAAGGAAGCCACTGCTTTAAATTTACAAGAGCTGAGTAGGGCTGTCAGGGACAGAGCATTCTGGATGGCTTTCATTCATAAAGTCATCGTAAGTTGGAGACACCAACATGTAACAACAACAGGAGTGGGCAGGAGGTAGATCTCCAGATGTTTTGGACTTCACCTCCAGGCAGCTCTTGCCAACATCGTCAATGGTCAGAAATATTGGGTACAGAATTCTAAAACATTTGGAGATATATTTTGTGCCTGTCCCAATATATACTACTAACAGCCTGTTGGGTTGGACTGCGTGCTGTGTTCTGTCATATCCTGTACTTTTCCATTTTTCTTAAAAACTGATGTCAACCTGATCACAATGCCTCTAAAAACTAGCAATCATCCATCAGACAGAAGGCTTTCTTCCCCATTCTTCCCTCTTTGACTATTTTCCTGTTTCACCACTTCTGTCTTTTAACTTTTTAAATCCACAATTTTAAATTGCAAAAAAGTCCTGTGTACAAATTTGAAATATTTACAAGAAAGACTATCCCAAAAAAATGTAGCAAAACCCCAGTATAACTGTGGATCAGGGCTTTGTCCAAATGTAATGCTAAACCATGATTCAGATGGAAGAAGAAAAGGCAGCATATAAATAGAACGAATAAATAAACTAGATGCTAAACTTTAGCTTTATGAAAACAAACCTAGCATACTCCCTGTCACCTGACCCCAATATTTTGATGCAACTAGAATATGGGATTTGAAAGCTTTCAGGCTTGTATCAGGGTACTGTGTTTGTGAACCTGTATGGTTAGGGATGTAGGTGGCGCAGTGGTTTAAACTGCTGTGCTGCTGGGCTGGTTGATCGAAAGGTCACTGGTCCGAATCTGCACAACGGGGTGAGTTCCCATTGCTCTGTCCCAGCTCCTGCCAGCCTTGCAGTTTGAAAGCATGCAAATGCAAGTAGATAAAAAGGTACCACTTCGGTGGGCAGATAACAGCGTTCTGTGCACTTTGGTGTTTAGTCATGCTGGCCACATGACCACGGAGACTGCCTGTGGACAAACACTGGCTCCCTTGGCTAGGAAATGGAGATGAGCACCGCCCTGTAGAGTCAGGCATGACTAGACTTAACGTCAAGGGAAAACCTTTACCTATGTGGTTAGGGAAAACAAATCAGCTTCATAAACTATGGCTTGAAGTTAACTTGTTTCCACTAACCAGTTTGTCCAGTTTTCTGATGACACAGCAGGCTGTAGTTATTTTAAAATGGAAGAAATTGGAAGGGATCGTAGCTTAGTCCTAAAGCACATGCTAATGGCAGAACACTTTTTTCTTTTTCCAATTTATATGCTGCAACCATAGACCATATTTTGCATGTTAAAGGTCCCTAGTTCAGTATTTCCAGATAGGGCAGTGAAAGAATCCTGCCTGAAACCCCAGACAGCTGCTGCCAGTCAGTGTCAGCAATACTGGGCTAGATGGACCCTTGCACTGAGTCAGTAGCCTGGTTCACACAATCACCAAGACTTAATCAAGCCACTATGCCTTCTTTAAGCACATGGCATCTGCTGCTATTTGAATAACCACACCTGGATGCAGCTAGCCATGCCATCCAAACCTAAGCACCATGGCTAGTCTGAGGGTTAAACAACCCTCAAATAACTCAACGATAACACTAGCAATTATTTCAGAGTTGTTTAGCTCTCAAATAATTCCTGTTGCCCAGTTTCAGATGACACAACCAGCTGTGCTGGGCACAAGCCACAATTTTCACAAGGCACTGTGGCTTTAAGTCACGGTGATTGTGCAAATCAGGTCAGTATAAGGCGGCTTTCTGTTTTGCTCTGCTTCTCAGTAAACTCTTCACTGTGGCCCTGCCAGTAGAAGGGGGAGGAAGCCAATGAGGAGGGCAAGCTCATTCTCCTAATGCTAAAATTTAGTGGCTAAATGCTACAGTTGAGCCACTGCAGCTACAGTAAATTTAGTGGCTAAATGCCACAGATGGCCTCACATCCAACATATTGCATTACGTTAAGATCACAACTGAGATGTGCTGCTGTGGACATAGCCAGGGCTGCAGGGGTCCAGCACACTACCTTCCTCCAGCACCTGGGATTATTTTCCATGGCAAGATACATTTGCTTAAAAGAAAGGCAAGTAAGGGAAGGCATGATAGGAACACACAGAATTATGCCTGGTGTGGAAATAATGGGCCCCGATGCATTTTCCTCACTCTGACAGTACTAGAACCCACTGCGCTCGTTCACTGAAGCTGGGCAGTAGGAGATTCAGGCCAGATAAAAAGGACTTCTTCACGGAGGGTGCAGTTAAACGATGGAATTCACTTACAAGAAGTAGTGAAGGCTGCAAATTTGGAGGGCTTTAAAAGGACAAATTCATGGAAAAGGATACCAATGGCCTCTAGTCCAGCTGGTTCTAGGCTACCTCTAGCATAGGCACAAGTGTATGTACATCCATTGCTGGGGAGCACGGGTGCAAGTCTGCTGTTACACTCATGTCCTGCTTGTGGGTTTCCCATGGGCAGCTGGTTTACCACTGTGTGAACTGACTGCCAGACTAAGTGAACACCAGTCCAGCTGGGCATGGCTCTTCTTCTCACATTTGGAGAGCATGCAGCCCTTACCGTGGTGTATTTGCCCAGCTGGCAGAGAGAAGGGAAGGTTTCCTGATGAGCTTTGCTGACTTTCTGGATGAGCTCTTCCAGCTCAGGTGTCATTTCGTAGCTATCCACCACCACCTCCTCTTTCACGTCCTTCTTCTTCTTGTTGCGGTCATTCCTCACAGCTGAAAAGAGAAAGGGGATGGTAAGTGGGAAAGGACACACCATATTCCAGAACCAAAAAGGCAGCATCTCAGGATCTTATGATCTGGCCAAGTCAATCCAACCCAAAAAAGCTCAGGGTTTAGTCTGTATCGCCAGAAAAGAACAAGGCATAGAGGTAAATTGTGGTCAAATCATTCTCAGGACACACAGTGGAGCAGAGGTGTTTGCTCCCTTTCCATAGGCATCTCCTAGGAACGCAAAACTGCCTAAAATGGGTCATGGGGCTCTTTCAGCTTGCAGGTGAAATTCCACTCCATTTCATTCCTGGACAGCACTGCAGGCAGAGAGTAAATGGGGATGAAATGTTCAACGTGCCAGCATATTAAAGCTTAGAAGTGTTTACTGCTGATAATCAAGTCTTGGAAGAAACTTTTCCCAACAGGGAAAATGTACAAAAGCCAGGAGACCACAAGTGCTTAGCTGCTTGAGGGACAGGGCTGACACTCCAGGTATGACATTCTTTTGCCTTGGACTAGAGCAGAGGAAGGCAAACACACACTCTCAATAGTTTTGACCACATCTTAGAATGGGAGCTGCAGTCCAAAATGGCTTACACCAGCTTGCACCAAAAAAAAAAAAAAAAGACAGCATGAAGATGTATTTGTGTTGTGCTGAAAAACTTTACCAGCTCATTCACGACCTCTTTGTTTCCCTGTGGAAGAGGCAAGCGTTTTTCTGCCTCTTTCATTGGGATGCTAGGAATTTTGGAGACACTTCTCAGGATGTAGGGCTTCAGGGCTTACCTTGCCTGGCAGGAAGAGGTGTTTGAGTGCTTTCTTTTATCATGCTCTACATTTGCAGCCTCTCCAGCTGCTAGAGCTTTCTGAAAACCCTCCTAGATAGAAGCTGAGAGAGGCATTTGAGGCTTTGCTTTGTTTGTACCAAAAGTCCTTTAAGCAGCAAGAAGAATTTTAACTCCTTTCCCAGCTTTCAGGCCCGCAGCACTGGAGAGCCCCAAGGGAACAGATGCTGGCTAAGTCCTCTGGTGGGCTTCTCAGGAAGTTCAAGTAGCCAGAGAGGCTGGAAGGACAGACGTGGGGGAAACGGTAAAAGGAAGAACCCCCCCCCACACACACACGCACGCCTCCGCACCCCAGGTAAGCACTGAAGCCCTGCACCCTAAGAAAGGTGCATGGTGGTGAAGGTTGCCTCTACACTCCTCCTGCCCCGCAAAACACTACGACTGCTGATCCGGGGAGGAGGCTGAGCTGATGCCGGGATACGTGACCCTGTGGCAGTGCCCGTCTCCTCCCTTGCCCTCCCCCTGAAGGTCCATTTAGCCCGCTCTTGCAGCCTCGGAAATGCCATCAGTGTTGTTCTTCCCATGCCAGCTGTTCACAGCACATTTCTGACCCCTTAGCCGGGTCCTCAAAAAATCCTATGGCCATTTCGATTCTGTCTGGCATGGTGTGCCTCATGCCTTTAACAAACCCAAAAACTGAAATACATACCACAACTTCAAGGCATATCAATAATTATGAAGTATTACACTTTCACGCTACTCTATAAGACAGCAATTATTCAAACACCACAAAACTTCTCAAAATGCAAATACATGCTTCATATTAAGTTCCAGACAATGCTTTAACTCCTGGCTTCTAACCCACACATGGCAGTCTTACAGAACTAGCTTCCCAAATTATATAATAAAGGCTCTCTCTTGGCTACCTGTTCCTTACTGAATGAATTGCATGTGTCCATCTCAATGGTTACACATGTGTTTTGTTTTTTAATTTCTCTCTGTGGTGGACTACTTTATAATAGCACTTTCCCACAAGGGATACACATTTTGTAAAACAAAAATAATTTTAAAACCTGCATTTAAAAAACCCTCTAGTCTTATTCAACAATGTTACTGTAGCACAGCATCCCTATCTAATCAAGATACCTTCAGTTCAGCCCTTTTGGGGACACAGTGCCCAAATCAGGATTCATGTGGTCTCTTTTTGGCTGGGGTTACCAGCTGCCCCTGAAAAGAGTACATAAAATCTACTGAAAAGAGGCAGATAAAATCATTGCCAGCTCTCAGACAGCAGGGAAACAGCATGAAGGAATCACAGCTGCTGACACATCTGAGGGTGAGACTGAACTGCATATTCCCACCTTGTAGATCCACTGCAGCTGCCTAGTACTAGATCAGTGTTGCCTGTTCTAGCTGGCCACTGCTTTCCTGAGTCTTAGACAGAAACTGGTCCCTCCCTTCCTGATACTAGATACCACCGACAAAAGCTGGGATCTTTGGTGTGCAAAGCAGGTGCCCTGCCACTCAACTACAGCCACAATATTAGCCACAGCACCAGTTTCTTAGCATTAGCTGGGGATGATGGTTGCTCTCATGCTTAAACATGTGCAAACACACACATGCAGCAAATGCAGCTCCCCCTTCACTCCAACTTTGTGAGCAGCAAAGCCACCATCATGGCAGACCTCACCCTGCCATGATGCTGCTGGGGGGTTTCAAGCCAACAACAAAAACAACATTTCATTTATTCCACTTCATTTATTACATTTCTGTGGCGCCCAATTAATTTGTAAACAACAGTCGACTTGGGATCAAAGAGGTGGCCTTTTTCTTCCAGATTCCAAGCTGTTGCCATCACCTTGTCCCCTGCACTGTGTAGCAAATTCCTCAACCTGAAACATGTGCCAAACTGTCACAGAAGCACTTGGGGAATGGTGCTCAGCCAAAGGCAAACAGGAAGGAATAACCAAGACAGCCAGATAGAAAGCTGCAGAGCTGTTGGATAGGGCAGGGGTGGGGGGGCAGGTTAGGGTTGCTACAGCTGCCTCCACCCACAGGGAGTACTTCCTTTTCCCAGGGGAAAAACAGTAACCGAGGTCAGAGCCTGCTCAGCGACAGAACAGATTCCCATCTCTGTACAGCTTGTGGTCCACTGAGCTGAGTGCAATAGTGCATCGAGGCTTGCCAGGGGCTTGACCAATCCCCCTCCCCATATTTCCAGTCTCATGTAGGGGTGGAGGGAAGAGGCTTTTGCGCCACTGAATGGTCCCAGTGCATGGCTGTTGAGCTGCCTTTGGCTTGCATGGGCCAGCTGCAAATCCCAGTGGCAGGCTGGCTCAGCTGTAGCATCCATCTCCTATCCTTGCCTGTTTCGGAAGGGACCAGAGGTCCTCTTCTCGTGCCTGCACTAAAGACTAAGAGAGAGCTTTCAGAGTCCCAAAGACTGAAGACCTGTTTGGCTTCTTTTGATTCAAAGGGTGATGGAGGGGTTCCTCTCTCTTTCAAATCCTGTTCGCTGGGCCAACAATTCAAGACTGTGGTCACAGGGCACATGATATGGCTTGGCTGGTGCTTGGAGTGCTGGTCATGCAGAAACCTCATGTAGGTTCCCCTGAATTATTTTGTGAGGAAAGGGTGGGGTATATAAGAAATAAATAAGCAAGACTCTTCATTTGCCTGTGATGAGCACTGGAGTTAATTCAGTTAATTTCAAACCCACTGGTGAGACATGGCTGGAGTTAATTCTCTGCACAGGAAAGCAAAAGAAAGACTAAAGGGGTCATGTATATAAATTACCTTGGCAGTAGAAGCAAATTTCATTGACACAGAATGTCACAAAATCACTGCTAGTGTAGAGTCACTGAAATGATGGATCTCACTGATTTCAGTGAATCTACACTAAGTATGAACAAATCTGGATCCAACCCGCATATGCAAGTATTAAATTCTGTATGTAACTTGGATTCTATAAGCACAAAGCCAAACTAGCTCAGCATGAATTTATTGGGCTGTGTCCAGTGTTACTCCAACTCCAGGTGGACCCACAGAAATGATTAAAGTTTGAGTTAGTCCTAACACTGGATGCAACCCAGTATCCGCTTTCTTGAGTGTGGTACATTCCAAATCCTGGAATCATGGCTGCAGATGATGGAGTTGAGGGATACCAGAATGGGGCAGCCTATGTTTGTTTTTTGTACAACAGACTGGTTAAAAGACAGTAAAAAATCAGCTGGGGGACACTTTATCCTGTGACAATTTTTAAGCTGTCACTGATTAGGACTATGAAACTAGGGGATAGACATCATAAGGTTACTTATACCTCACACTAGCAACCTTGTTGTATTTAATATCACAGTGCTTAAAGAGAAATTTACAAAGCATCTTAAGTGTACAAGCTGCAATTCTGCACATGCTTCCCTGTAACACAGTGGGATTTACTTCTGAGTATACACATATGAGATGCTGCTGCTGCTTACCCCTTTCATCTTTCAGGGAATTCTTTGGGGAGAGAACAGGGATTCTAATTCACTCAGACAGTAATGTATAGGAACTGAAAAGGGACAGAGCGTATGTGGCAATGGAGAGAAATCTCCTTTCTGTGACCGGAAAGAATAAAAAGGCTGGAAGGAAACTGGAGGCCATCTATCCCGTCCAACCGCTACCTCAGGACAGAACTATCCACTTATCCGTGCCTCACAGGTCACCCACACAGACCACAGAACGCCACAACAGGGACAACGGCTGTGCAACGCGTTCCAGAGGTGTTGGAGCAAGGGGCCTAGGTCCACGGCCCTCTGGGAAAGGAATCTGGGAAGGGTCTGCAGCTCAGGGCTGGAGCACCTGCTTTACACGTGGAAGGTCTAAGGCTCGATCACCAACACCTCCAGGCAGGCTGAGACCAACTCCTGCCTGAAACCCTGGAGAGCCACTGCTGCCAGCCTGTGCGAACAACCCTGGGTAGATGGACCAAGGATCTGATCCAGTGCAGCAAAGCAGCTCTTTCAGTTGCTACAGTTGCCTGCAGGGATTTCTCAGAATGAGGTACTCCTGGGTGGGTGTGGGAGATGTCATCGTACCCCCACCTCCTCTTCTTCCCTGTTGAGGGGTGTCCGCAGCACCATCCCTATCCCCACCACCGAAGCCCTGCCAGCACACCCCTCCCCAGCTGAGAGCCCGGGGGTTGCGTGTGCACTCTCTTCGGCCTGAGCCTTCCCCTGACTGCCCTTCCTGTTCACCCCAGGATAAAGCGCCAGGGATCTGGGAACAGGATACGCCAATCGGCAGGATATACACTTATAGCCACAGTCAGCACAATGCTGACGAGGGCTGGGGGTGACTGCCAGCCAAGCCCTACGGCCAAGCTCTGGAGGGTGGATAAAGCTCACCACACAACTCACCCCCCCCCCCACACACACACACAGGGGCATAGATGTAAAAGCTCTTGCTTTCCAGATGCAAAGCTATACAGTGAAAGAAGTGGCAAAGCTGAATGGGAGACGTCCAACCGGGAGGGCAAATTCTCATCTCCTAAATGCTGTGTTTTCCCAAGCAACTGCCCGCTCCCCCCGCCCCGTGGCCCAGTCCCAAAGCCAAGCCTGGATGGGCTAGGGAGGGGCTCTGCTGGCCCAGATCCCTCAGGCTGTCCATTTCCTGCCTCTGCAGTGACTGTCCAGAGGAACAACATTCTCTCCCCCAGCCCCAACTGCAGCACACCCCTTGCCCACTCCTCTCCACCCACTGCTCCCTTTAAAGTGACAGGCTCTTGGAAATAAATTGCTAGCTTTTGAGACATAGACATTCCTAATTAAGGGCTCTTAAGGAGATGGTGATTAATGGGAGCCCTGGCCTAGACCAGTGCGAAGACATGCCTAAGCAGTCGGGAGTAAAAGCAACAGCCGCTGAGAGGCACTCTGTCTCCGAGAAGGCTGGGCAGCTGACAACACTCTTAAAGAGGAGGCAAACTCGTCCCGGCTGGCCCAGAAATGACCAAAGGACGCCTCCTATGGGAGTCTGTTTGTTTATTGTTCCTCCCTGGGAGTGCTTTTGGAATTGTTTCCCCTCAGAGGAAGACACGTGGAAAACATTTCATTAGAAAAAATGTCAACCTGGACTTCCATCCCTCATCGCCACCTCCAGCCCTAGTGGGGAAGTGGCCATAATCTAGTCTCTTGCTCATGCATCTTTCCTGAAAAAGCCACGTGTACCTTTGCAGTTTGGAATTAAACGTCTCCCACAGCATTTTCCTCTGAGGGGAAATCCATCCCAATGCACTGCCTTGAAAGAAAACATTACGCAGCGTGAGACCAGACATGAAAGCAGAAGGCCTTGTGGCTGTCTGCAGACTGCAAAGATCCCTGCTCAGGACTCCGTGCATTCTCTCAGGTGCGCTTATGATTGTCACTCAGCACAGGCAGGCACAAAACTGTCTCTGTGGCGTAATATGTTGTGTTGCTCCTGGGGAAGGGGGCATTATGAGGAGGCACATACACAGCGACCATTCCATAAGGTCATGTAGCTTCAGACTCAAAAATGCCTTGATCATTTGGATGAACCCTGAATCACAGCAACAGGTGCATGCTCAATTTTATGCATACATCCACACAGATGCATTGAGTCCATGATGCAAATGCAGTACATTCTCTGTCCAAACCCAAAGGGAACGTCTGTGTGTTTTTGGCCTGATCTAGCAGGTTTCTTCCTATATTCCTAGCCACCTCTGTCCTCTGCTTGTTCCACACTGCTCCTTTCGCTTGGAACATCCATCCCTCACCCACTCTATCATGCCACTTCCCTTTATAGCAGGGGTAGAGAACTATTTTGTCCCACGTGACCAAATAGGCCCTGAGGACCTCACCCATGGGCCAGATGTTGGCACTGGGCAGGGCTATGCCCCCCCCAAATGGGCGTGACACCCCCCCCCCAAATGGGCAAGATCACTGGTGGCATGTGAGGCATTGAGCAGGGCACAGATCCCTCTCCAGGTTTTGGAGGGCCTTTGGGAGGAGACTGCCAGGGGGTCACTCCATCAGCCTCCATGCGTCCCCCTCTCACCCCACTGCCACCATCTGCTGGCAGGGTGGGCAGCCGGGGAGCAAGGAGGCCAGGGCATTTGTCTGGCCAGAGCAAGAGGCAGGCCAGGAAGCAGGCTGTGAAGGTGAGGAAGGGCAGCACCTCCAGGGGGCTCTGCTGGCTTGTCTCTGCTGTGGCCTGGGCCCTTGGCATGTGCCCAGACCTGCCTACCCCAATACTAGCCCTGGCAATGAGTACAGGTAGGCGCATGCTTGCAACCAAGGGATGCAAAGTAGTTTGTCCTGCGACTGCCTTTCCAGAGACACCGTTTCTGAAACGCGAGTAAAAAGATGCCTTTGCAACAAGAAGGCAGCTGCTCTCACGACATAGTAAGTCTGGGCCATCTGCATTCAGGTTCAAGCAGGGAAATCACACCAAAGCTTTTTCAAAGGAAGAGAAAGCTTATTCAAAAGAGGAGAAACTGAGAAACCCCACCCTGAAAATTTCAGCCAAAGCCATCCTAGTGTGCAACCTTTGGGTTTCTGCAAAAGAAGTTAGTCATTCGGCCCTTGCTGGGGGATGGGCCTCCACAGATGCCCAGTCCTTGATGCCAGCCCTGGCACAAAGCCAGGTGCTCCAGATGCGACCAGCCCAGTTCCTTATGTGCTCTGCCTACCCCATGCCTTCCCTGACTGGGAAGGATGCAGGTGATCAAAGCTCTGAATGGAGCTGGGTCTGGAGCAGATGACCTTCTGGGCACTAGCTCATTGACAGCAGCTTAAGCCCAAATGGTGCTTTCGCCACTTAAAGAGCTTGCCGAAAAGTGTGCCAAGCAAAAGGCTCTGGTCTACAGTCTCACAGACTACTTGGGTTGGGCTGGCTTGGCGGCCAGTTTTACTTCTCCTTGAGCTTCTCCCCATCAGCCCAGTGCGCAGTCTCAAGAAGCGCTATTCTCTCACTCATGACTGAACTGATGGGATGAGCAAAGCTAAGGGGGCATGGCCTGCAGAAGAAGGTGTTCCCACTCGGAATGCCTCCCAGGCCAGACTGGGAAGCCTTGGGGGCCGGATCCTTCTCAAAACCCACTCCTTCCACAGAGCCCTTCCCAGCTTCCCACAGCCTCCGTTCGATGCCCTGTCCTTCCAGCTTGTCCTATGCCATTCCAAGGCCCACCCATGCCATTTCTGTGTTCCATGCAGCATCGGCACGCTGTGGATGCCCCATCCTGTTGCACTAGAGGAGGCAACTGCCCTAGCTCCAACTGTCTACCAGGGCACAGGCAGACCGAAACGCCCGCCCCTTCCAGAGTGGATGCAACCTGCAAGCCCCTTGGAGATGCTCACCTTCTTTGGACATGCCGACCTCAAAGCACTTCTGCAGGCGGCAATATTGGCAGCGGTTGCGGGTGACTTTGTTGATCTGACAGTTCTTGTCCCGGTGGCAGGTGTAGACCATGTTTTTCTGGATGCTTCGCCGAAAGAAGCCCTGTGGGATCATGGAGAGAGCAGGACATGGGGTCAGGTGGGTGAGGTTCAGGAACAGCTCCTGGGGAGTCCCGGGCAGGCCTCTCCCCAAGTCTTCTTTCCCAAGGCAACTCTACTGGCTGTGCCCCTCTTTTGGCCTGCTGTTTACACAAGCACCTCAGGGGACTATTCCAGATGTTACTGCTTACCCACATGAATCTTCAGACCTAAGGTAGGATTCGTTTTGAATCTTTACAGGCACAGAGATCATGACAGAAAATAGCCTCCCCCAACCTGGCATTCTCCAGATGTGTTGGACAGGACCTAAGCCAGTGCCTTCCTCTGACTCAGACCCGCAGCCCTTCTAGCCCAGGAGGGTTTTGGCAGGTGGCAGTTGCTTTCCAAGTCTCAGATATATGAAGCTGTTCCAGGCTGTACTAACTGTGATCTTTTTTAACCTTCTAAAAGAGCAGTGGTGTCATGGAAGACAACTTCCCTGAGCCCAGCGCTTGCTAGATGCTTTGGACTACAACTCCCATCAGCCAGCACAGCCGCCGTGTAGAGCTGATGGGGTTTGTAGTCCCAAACAGCTGGAGACTGCTGGGTTGGGGTAGACAGGTATAAGGATTAAGTGTGCAGGCAAGGAAGTCCCAAGTTCAAATATAAACTATGCTACAAAGCTTCCCCAGAAGGCTTGAGACGAGTTTTAAATCCTCAACTGCCTTTGTTCCTCAGCTGCAATATGGGGAATAATAATGCTGGCCTGCTTCATGGAGTGGATGAAGATTCCTAAGATAATCCTTTCAACACACATCATGGTCCCCATAAAAAGTGTCCTCCCTGAAGCTGTCCCTGGCAGCTATTTGCTTTGCCAGCATTGGTGCCAATATCAGCTTCTTCGTCTGACTAAGAAACTTGAGAGAGAGTTTTTTTTGTTGGGGCTGCAGCACAGATATTGTGGAGGAGCAGGACAGCCCTTTGACTGCGATTTAACAGTCCCTGCAAGCAGCCAAAGGTGCAGGCCAGCGCTGCTACACAGATCAGGTGCCAATCCTTTCCCCTGCCCTTCCCTGCTGTGCTTTCAAGCAGAAAGTTTGACTCTCCCTCTCAGCACCAGCAGCTGACCTAACACCCTCTAATCCGGAAGATATCCACACCCTGACATTATTTAGATGAGCCTGTAGAATTTGATGCTCAAACTATGAGCGGAGTTTCTGCAAGCAGAAACCCCTGATTCTGCAACCAGGAAGCCCAGCTTCAATAACAGGAGTGAAGGATGCCAGGTCAGCATACATTTCCTTGTTTTGCACATTTCATCAGGTTTACATAATCTGTTTTGGGTGTTGGCACACTTGGAATTCCCTGCTGCAAACATTCTTTTGCAGAGGAAAGGAGGCCTGGATGAAGTATCCAGCCACACCCTCCTGGCCGAGCAGCTGCAGGCATGGTGCTGGCCTGTGCTCTGGATTTTGGTGAGCTGAGCTGCAAGGAAGCCGCTGCCATCAGCAGCTGGGATACCCCTCCCCACTCCCCAGTGCCTTGGAAGTGGGAGGGCAGGCCCCACAACCCAGGTGGCTGCTGTCACTCACCTTGCAGCCCTCACAGGAGCTGACCCCATAATGGTAGCCAGAGGATTTGTCATTGCAGACGAAGCAAGGTTTGTAGACACGTGGAGGCGGAGGTGGAGAGGGGGAGCTGGGCACCATCTCCTCTGAACTTGTGCTTTGGGTCTCCACCGCTGCAGAGGAAAAGAAGGGAGTGTCAGGCAGAAATGCTGACCTTCTAAACCTAAGGAGCATCAGTAAAAACAGACTGAATGTCAGGTTCCACTTTTTTCCTTTTTTTCTCCTTTTAAAAGGAAGCTTCTTGCTCTCTGCATGAGGAAATGTGGTGGGGAGACCTGTCAAGCTTTGAACCAGCCTTCCTCCAACCATGCTGGCTGTGGCTTATGGGACTTGTAGTGCAACGTATCTGGAAGGCTTGTCTAAATGTACAGGGTTCCTGCTACAGGAAGAAGCTGTTTTTCCGGTTCTCCCACCACAGAATATGGAGCCATGTTCTGTTGCTATTATCACATTACAAGTATATCCCGCTTTTTTCCTCTTTGAAGAGCCTAAGAGGAAGCCTCCATTTTATCCTCACAACAACCCTGTGAGGTAGGTTGCACTTAGAGTCTGTGATGGCCCACAGTCACCCAGTGAGCCTTGTGGCCAAATGGGGCCTAGAAGCTTGAGCTCCCAACTGCCCAGTCCAACGCTCTCAGCACCACCCCACGCTGGCCCTCATGTCACACTGGCTGGCGATATATTTTAAAACCAGTGGTTCTCAAATGGGGCAGGGATGCCCCTGTCGGAAGGAACTGGTGGCTTCCCCAAGAATAATAGTATCCTGCAAGTGGGGCTTCCCTTCCCCAATCTACCTGGATGGGTTGAACTACCCTTCTCTTGCAGTGGATACATATGTGATCTACATTAAATTTTGAGAGGTGACTGTATCTCTGGTGCCTCATCCTCTCAACCCAGCTTGGGAAGATGAAATTTCAGGGAGACTTTCATTCAGCAATACTTAGCTCCTATGCGATTTCTGTTGGACCTTCCGCCTTTTCAAATGTCAGTGTTGGCTTTGTACCCAAATCCACAGTTCATTAGTAGCTGCAATTACAGCCGGCAGGAATCTCTGCTGGCTTGCCCATGCAACAGATTATTAGGGCTGGTTTTGGTAAAGGATAATGTACAGAAGGCAGGACAAGCTCAGAAAATTTGAGGAGCCTTATTATTTGTTTGTTTGTTTATTTCCTTTCTTTCTATACCAGCCAGTCCCTAGACAGCATACTAAAAGGCAGAGACATCACCCTGCCAACAAAAGTGCGTATAGTCAAGGCTATGGTTTTCCCAGTTGCAATGTATGGCTGTGAAAGTTGGGCCATAAGGAAGGCTGAGCGCCAAAGAGTTGAGGTCTTTGGTGCTGGAAGAGACTCCTGCGAGTCCCTTGGACAGCAAGGTGATCAAACCGGTCAGTCCTAGAGGAGATCAACCCTGACTGCTCTTTAAAAGGCCAGATACTGAAGATGAAACTCAAATATTTTGGCCACCCAATGAGAAGGAAGGACTCGCTGGAGAAGAGCCTAATGCTGGGAACAAAAGATGGCAAAAGAAGAAGGGGACGGCTGAGAATGAGGTGGATAGATGGAATCAAGCATTCAGCATGAGCTTAAGTGGACTCTGGGGGATGGTGGAGGACAGGAAGGCCTGGAGGAATGTTGTCCATGGGGTTGCGATGGATTGGACATGACTTCACAACTAACAACAACAACACCAGCCAATAGCCAAAGCAGTTTACAACAACACATGATACAATGAGATACGATTAAAATGGCACGAAATTTTATCAAAAGAAAAACAGATTAAAAACAACTAAAAACATATCGTGAAGACTAGCCCTGTAAAAGAAAAATACCTGAGGTAGGTGGTCTCCTAAACCCCTATATAACCCAGTACATCTTTTTAAAAGTTCAGCATAAAGGGACTTCTTACCCTGGTGCTGAAAAGATGACAAGGATGGCATCAGGCATGCTGCAGTGGGGAGGTAATCCCACAGATGGGGGGCCACCACAGAGAAAGACCTCTCTTATTGCTTCCCTGTGAGCGTCCCTGGATTTTGAATTTGGAGGAAGGCCTTGGCTGCTGAGCATAAAGTCCAGGTAGATTGAAACTGGGAAAGGTGCTCTGTCAAGTATTGTGGTCCCAAGCTGTACAGAGCTTTATAAATTAAAACCCCAATACCTTGAATTGGGCCTAGAAGCATACAGGCAGCAAATACAAGCAGGCTAGAACTGGTCTTATGCATTGGATCTAGAGGTCCCAGTTATGACACTGGCTGTTGTCTTCTGCACCAGTCTTTAAGAGCAGCACCACATAGAGCACACTGCAATAATCTAATTTAGAGATTACCAGAGCACAGAAATGAGGAAATCTTTGTCCTGATAGGGGCACAGCTGAGCCAACCTCAAGTGGCAAAGCTGGACTGAGGAGAACCTCCAAGCTAAGAACGTGCTCTTTCCATCTAGAAGCCATCCAGTCAGAGGATCCACCCACCAACAGCATCTCCGTCTTCCCTGGACTGAGCTTCTGTTCTTAGCTCTTTTCCAGTTCACTGTCACAACAAGAAACCAATTTTGCACATCTACAGCCTCACCTGTTGTTAATGAAAAGGAGCAACAGAGTTGTGTGTCATCGACATACTGATGGCAATGCACTCCAAAACACTGTGTGACCCCACTCAGTGGTGTAATGTAGATGTTAAATAGCATGTGGGACAGAACAGACCCCTGAGGAACTCCATGCTGGAGATTCCACAAGCTTGAGCAATATTTCCTAACCCTGTTCCCAGTATTTCCCAACCATCTTCTGGAGACGACCCTCCAAGTAGGAGTGGAACCACTGCAGAACAGCACAGTACCTGCTGCTCCCAACTCAGGGATTGCCCCAGGAGGATACAATGGCTGATGGTGCTGAAAGGCATGGAGAAGTCCAGGAGTAACAACAGAGTCACAGTTTCCCTGTCTCTCTCCTGGCTGTGCCCATTGTACAGGGCAGCCAAGGCTATTTCCATGCCATTTATAGGTGTTGGCAGCAGGGCCAGCTAGACGTACCCACTAGACATGTCCTAGCATGGAACTATTTAAATTAATACAGAATTTTAAAAAACCCACAGAGTGCTTTACTTTTTTTTGTGCTATTTTCATTCACAATACTAAAATAGTTACCAGAAAAAAGATCAATGGCAGTGTAAGCTTCCGTGCACTAACACCCACTTGATCATCAGGTACATGAGTCATTCATGCAATCATGCATCAGTCACTCTCTAGTCCACAAAAGGTATGAAAGTAAGTAAATGGACTCTAGTTCATGAAAATTTATGCAATACACAAGCTGTCAGTTTTTAAAGTGCCACAAGACTGCGTGTGTGTTTGGAAGACACACTGACAACAGTAATTTCAAAATATATTTAGAGCTAAATATTTCAGCTTCTACCACCATCAGTAGCCGCAATGTTAACAGATCCCAAGAATAGTAGTTGGGAATGCCGAGGGATGGAATTCCTACGGAGAAAAAAAGAAGTATGCCTGGTTTATGGATTGTCCTCCAGATTAAGGCCAATTGCACGGAGAGTTCTGAGTCTACAGATCCAGAAGGGTCCCTTTCCGCCAAGCATTTCAGTGTCCATTCTTTGTTCAGTTGGAAGCAATTGTAAATGGGAGAGACTGTGTGCCAGTGAGTTAAAATGTCCTGCAACAGACGCTCTAGTTTTTGCCAGAATTGCGGATCTGTGGTTTATGGAATCTTGTTCTTATGACTGTTGTAATTTTCACAACTTAAGACATACTATATATTTAACATTCATTATGTTAACTTAATTAACAATACCAACTGTGCTCCTAAAAGAAGTAACTGCTGATTTACATTGCTGTTGTCCTGGATTGCAAATCTCTTGTATAAGTGCTCTTAACTAACAGTGTATGCAAATCAGGTGGCTAAGGGAAATGCCAGTCTGGTGTAGTGGTTGAGAGCATGGGACTGGCACTCAGGTGACCTGGATTCTAGTCTCTGCTCAGTTATAGAGCTTACTTTGAGTGATTTTGGGCCAGTCACAGACTCTCAGCCCAACCTACCTTGCAAGGTTGTTGAGGGAGTAAGCATGAGAGAAGGAAGAGGAGAATGATGTAAGCTGTTTTGAGTTCTTTTATAAGAAAAAAGGTGGCATATAAATCTAATAAATAAATGGCAATAGGATATAATGGGGTAACCATCTTTCATTGTCTTCAGATAATGGGGCAAGATGCTATTCCACAACAAATGGAATGCAATTTTCTTTCAGAGAGCCAGCATTCATAAAGGAGGGTGTCCTTGGATATTACTGAGACTTTTTTGATACTGTAGTCAATAATTATTATGTGTGACTTATGATTACATGACTATAATGTAGTCAGCATTGTAGCCAGTGTATCCGCATTGTTGGAAAAGCTCTGTAAGTTTGTTAAACCTCCCTGAGCAGTGTTCTTTATTACTGCAAATGGATTTTAAAGCCAAATCATATGTAAAGTTCTTCTTAAATGGTTCAGATGGCATGACTTGTACTTAAGGTACAGGTGGAAATCAAGTCTGTGCCAATTTGAAGGTCTGATGTTAAAAGGACATCCAGGCTGCACTGGATCAGAGCCTTCTGTTTCCACAAAGGAAATAGAACCAAATACCCAAATGCAGGGGCAGCCAATTCATGGCCCTCTGGATGTTTTGGCTACAGTTCCCATCAAAGCTTGTCAATACAGTCAGAGGTAACGGTTGATGGGAATTTAGGTCCACACATCTGGAGGGGCATAAGTCACCCACTTCTACAAGTGAAGGTCTTACAAGCAGGGTGTGAACACAGTAGCACCCCACAATTCGTGTCCCCCAGCAATTGATATTGCTACACATCCTGCCTCTGATAACTGGAAGCAACACACAACCATCACAACTAGATGCCACTGACAGCCTTCTCCTTCATGAATTTGTCTAATCACCATTTAAAGCCTACATCATGTAGCAAATTCCATAGTTTTAATTATGTACTGTACAAAGCATTGCTGCATGGCATGACACCCCACAGGAAATGGAGCAGGGGTTAGTATTATGGGACAAGCACATCTTCTACTTCTCCACCTTTTCCACACCATGCATAATTTTACCAGCCCTGGAT